GTCGCTGTCTACCCCCGCTCCCTGCCTCTGGCATCTCCTCATCCCTCCCCGGGTCAGCGGGCAGCGCCGCCGCCGCTGGCGCCGCGCCGAGGTCCACGTCGAGTTCCATGGCGCGGGAGTTGGGGGAGGAAAGGTGCGGGGTGGAACAGGGGGACCCCCAGGCAATGGGGTTCGGGCCGGTCCCGGCCGCTTGAGCCACCTCCTCCTCCTCCTCCCCCTCCTCCTCCTCCTCCTCCTCCTCCTCCTCCTCCTCCTCCTCCTCCTCGATCGCTGCACCCCTCCCCGATCGCCGCCCCCAGCGCCGCCAGGGAGCTGCGCGCCTCTCGGGCGCAGCTGTTCCTCGAAGAGCGCCTGGGGCTGGCGCTTCCCCCCGCCGCTGCGCCGCGCGCCCGGCCCCCGCGCGCTGCAGCGCCGCCCCCCCAGAGGTCCAGCGTACAGTCGAGGCTGATTAGTAGGTCGACCCTGCCAGCTCAAGGGTACCCTCGTGTCCTGTGCCCTGCGACCCATGCTTCCGACATTCTGGTGGCAATGTGGCCCTCGAAAGGGTCTCGTGTCCTCTCGCGTGTCCTGTCCAATCAAGACCGACTGTATGGAACAAGAACTCAGACGGAGGCTTTTCGCCTTTCTCGGATTGCAGAGTCCCTCGCTGGCTCGGGACCGTCAAAAAGCAACTCGGGACGAGAAGCTGGCCTTGGGCAGAGGGGTCGGGACTGCCCAGGGCCCCGTATTGGAAAAAAATACGACATCGGATCTTTGGCCTTCCCCCCATGGGAGGTGAGGGCAGAAGTCGACCAACCGACCGAGCGTGAGAGGAGGGAAACCCCCGACCCCCTGGCGTCGTAAGGAAATCACGGCGGGAGGGGTGTTGGCTATATTTGGCATCTGTGGGCCCTCGCTGGGCCTCGGGACCGTTAAAAAACGACTCCGGATCAAAAACTGGTCCAGGGGAAAGGGTCGGCACTTCGGGGACCGCGTATAGGAAAAACCAGGACGTCGCATGTCTGGGAACATGTTTTACTTTCTTAATAGAAGGAAGGTTGTCACAACCTTCCCAGACGAGCAGCTTCAGACCCCCCATCAGAACAGCCATGAAAGGACGGCCTTTTGCCCAGACCTCCCAGAACCTTCCAAGACAGTTCAAATCAGACCCCTCCAAATCGGACCACACCCCTCTTAGTGTGAAATCTGGGGTACCCATACTGCTACCTTCGCCCGGGTTCCCCTTTGTCGGCCTCTTGGGAAGCCCTCGTCGCCACCACCGGACTCGCTTCGAAATCTTGGTCAGAACGCACCCCGGGAGAGGTCTAGGGAGTAGCGGTATAAGTACCTTTTCGTTTCCCCAGGTCGATCGATCGAGGTCTGAGGTTTCCAGAGTCGTGGTTCCGACAACAGTTGGAGCGGCCGTTTTAGGGTGATCTTCGGATTCCAGATGCCCTCAACCAGCCCCAGGACCGTCAAAGACGGCTCAAGACGAACAACACGGCCTGGGGGCGTGGTCCAGACCTCTGGGGACGGTCCTGGGGAAGTTGTCCAGCCCTAGGGAAGTTGCCCACGCATGGATACAATGGAGCGCCGAATGGGTTCGAATAGATTTTCATTATTTTCGGCCTGGGAGTGCTCGTTTCAGACCCGGGGGCCGTCGCGGGCTCGGTGATATCAATGAGTGCGGCTTACTACTCGCAAAGTGCTTACTCGCAAACGTTCCAACAAAAAAGACATGTCCGCATCGATGCAGTGTATCGTAAATCCCACGCGGCGGGTCCAGGCCATTTGCGAGCAGGTGTTCTGCGCGTAGTGGAACGCGCCTGTCTAGTAGTGGCCATAAGACTTCCAGAGCGGCCGCCCAGAAGCCGGCCGCTCCTCTTCTTCTGTCGGAGCCTCGGCTCTCTGGGGAGGGATGATGGGCATGTTTTTCCACCACCACCACCATACGTTGGAGGGCGGAAAAGGAGGAGGAGGCGGAGGAGGAGGAGGAGGAGGAGGAGGAGGAGGAGGAGGAGGAGGAGGAGGAGGACCCCCTCCCCCTCCTACTTGTGGTGGTGGCGGTGGAAAGCACGCCCACCAAGGGAGCCCGCGCCGCCTGTCGCCTGCCGCAGGCGCCCCCCCGCCGCCCCCCCCCCCCGCCGCGCCCCCCATCGGGCGGCCGCCCCGCCGCCGCGCCTGGCAGGCGGGCGGATCGGCCGCGCTGCGGCCTCCGCTCCTCGTCCGTCCTCTTTCCCTGCCTCCTCCTCCGCCTCCTCGCTTCAGCTCCTCCTCATGATCACCATCATCATCATCATCATCATCATCATCATCATCATCATCATCATCATCATCATCATCACCCTCCTCCTCCTCCTCCTCCTCCTCATCATCATCATCATTATCATCATCATCAGCATCATCATCATCTTTATCATTATGAGTACCATTATTATCATCATTATCATCGTCGTCGTCAGTATCATCATCACCATCATCATCATCCTCAGTAGCATCATCATCTGTATCATCATCATCAGCAACATCAGCATCATCATCATCTTCATCATCGTCATCATCAACATCATCGCTATCACCAGCATCATCAGCATCATCAGCAGCAGTATCAGCATCATCATCATCAGCATCATCATCGTCATCGTCATTGTCATCATCACCACAATCATCATCATCATCAGCATCATCCTCATTCTTATCACCACCATTCTCATCAGCGGCATCAGCATCAGCATCAGCATCGCCATCGTCATCGTCATCATCCTCACCACCACCACCACCATCATCATCATCATCACCATCATCATCGTCGTCATCCTCATCATCGTCACAATCAGCATCATCAGCAGCATCGTCGTCGTCAGCATCAGCATCTCCATCATCATCATTGCAGTTATACTAACGCGTTTTGCGGAGCATGAGTGGGTCGGGCCGCCTTTACCGTTTGGGCTCAAGGCGTAACGGAGGGAGCGGTCCGCGCGCGACGTGGATGTTGCCGCTGGTGCTGGGAGGGGCGGTCGACGCGACCATCGCGTACCTCCACCGGTGCCCCGCTGCGCCGGAGTGCCCCAGCTGCTCCTTGACCTGTCCTGCCTGTCCTTCTTTCACGTGCCCTCCGCCGGCCACAGTCAGCTGCCCAGCGTGCCCCGCGCTGGTCTGCCCCGCGGTGGCGGCCGAGGCGCCGCGCGCCGCTCGTGAGGGGCGCGCGGAGGCGCCGCGCTCCTGCCCTGCCTGCGCTGCTTGCGAGCAGCCGGCGGAGCCTGAGCCGTGCGACGCCTGGCGGGCCTTCTTGCGTGGGCTGCTAGGCGGCGCCGTCGGCGGCGTGCTGCTGACGCTGCTGTTCGTGAAGGTCGTGGGCCATTGAGTGGGGGTGGCTGAGGTACGTCGGGGACGACCTGGTTCACCAAAGGTGGGTTTCCGGCCGCGTGGCGCTATCGGCTTCTGAGTATGTCGGTACCACGCCGGACGGCGACACGTACATTGAGAAGTATGACGATAATGATAATGAAGATGTGGATCTGGTTCGGTGGAGCGCAGGTTGGAACGACGTCCCCAACGGCGTGAATCCTGCGGGGGTGTAACGCTTTCGGCAGGAGCCGACAGCGGCCGAGAAGCACGTCTTCCTTCGTGATGCTGAGCGACTGGCCGATCATCGCTGCCGCATCGTGGCCGCCACGATTGGTCGCCCCGACCTGCTCACGGCGCCAGGCTTCCGCGCGCTGGTGCCAGGCGGGCCAGGCGGCGCGCCCGCCGCTGCGGGAGGCGCGGCGGCTGGGCCTGCGGCGGCTGCTGGGCCTCGCCCGGGGGTGCTGCAGGGCGTGGCGCCTCAGGCGGCTGCGGCGGACGCTGGCGCGCGCTGGCGGGCGGCTCAGTCTCTCGGGGACGTGCGGTACGGGGACGAGGTGCCAGGGCACGTGGCGACGGCAGCTGCGGTGCGCGGGCGCGACCTCCACATCCTCGCCGACGGGACTGCCCTGTTCGTCGAGGAGGTGCCGGCGGCGGAGTTGGAGGTCTTCACGGGGCGCGCTGTGGCAGCAGACGCTCGCGTGATGCCCGTGATGCGTACGGGAGCTCGCCGCGAGGTGACGTGGGCGGTCATGGCTGCGCGCGATCGTGAGGAGGACTTCGGGCGCGACTGGCTGGTGACGGGCCCGCGGACGACGTTCTGGTGCATCGAGTTCATCAACAATGAGGGGATGGGCATCGACGGCCATCACGATAGGTTTCGGGCGGTGGCGAAGCTCGAGCCGACGCAGTGGGGCGTGCAGGAGCACTTCCAGTGCACGCAGTACATCCGCCTGCTGTTGCTCTCAGACCAGTGCGACGGCACGAACTTGCCGGCTTGCGAGGCCATCTTCCGTTCCGCCGCATGCAGACTATCTAGTATTCGTACCTGGAGAAGGTGAGGGAGCGTGAAGGCGCCAATCAGAGCGGGAAGTTGTCGATCGAGGAGCAGACGCACTTCGCGGGCTCGACTCGGATCTCTTCTAGCTTGATGGTGTGCCCCGACTTGTTGGAGTTTGTACGCAAAGAAGTAGAGCGTGAAGCTGCCCTGGCAAAGAACCTCCGTAAGGCTCGTGAAGAGAAGGAGGCTCTCAAGAAGGGCAAGAAGGACGGACAAGGTTGAGGGGGCATGGAGCGCCCCCGTCGTGTCCCCCGGTTGCCAGGCGACCGGGGGGCGCCTTCGCATGGTCAATTCGAGCGCTCTTCCCTTGGTCGTGATGAGCCCGCACGTCTGGTTGCTCGCAATCTTCTTCCTCTGCCAGTACCGCCAGTCTCATCTGTATGTGCTGACAGTGGTGTTTTTTTGTCGCGAGGTTGCCGTCAGCGGGTTCAGCAGCGTCACGCTCGTGATCTCGACGTTCGGAGGGCGGTTGTCGCCCTGAATTCACTGCATCACTCTCCTGACGTTGTGCCGGGCGGAGAGGGTCAACTCAGTGGTGGTCCTCTGTCGCTGGTGCAGCAACGCATCATGGAGCACGTGCGCGACTCAGTTGGAGCGCTGGGGGCTCCACCGGCAGGCGTCGACACCTCGGAAGCTCTGCGGAGGCTTCGAGCGCCTGGCTTCTACGGCTCCGACGAGGACGTGAAGCTGGGGAACTACAATCCCGATCTGCTCTCGCTGCCGTCCGTGGGGAGCCATGCGGTTCCGCTCGCGGACTTGTGGGGTGCAGGCGGGCGCAGGCGCGTCGCGGAGTTCGTCCGCGATAGTGTGCTACCTGCGGGACCGGCGCTGGAGAGGAGGAAGATGTGCGGCGTGAGGGCGCCCTATTCCGACCCAGCTCTTCGCCAACCGCGTGTGTGGAGCGACTTTGTCTCGCGGCTTCATCGCAGCGGCCTGCTAGATTTTGCCTACGACCGCGGCAGAGAGTCCGTGGAGTTCTTCTGCGTTCCGAAAAAGGATCAGCGATTGAGACTCGTTTGCGATTGCCGTCACAGCAACGTCTGGTTTCGCGAGCCTGATAACGTCACTCTTTGTACTGGTGAGACTCTTGGGAACCTCGAAGTCGGTGAAGGCGAGACGCTCTAGATTTCGGAAGCTGACCTGTCCAATGCGTTCTACCATTTGCAGCTGCCTGTCGAGTTGCGGGATCTGTTCACCTTTAGGCGCGTCCGTGCCCGTGATATCGGCTTGACTGAGATTGGCGGGCAACCAGTGCGCGACGGGGCGTGGGTATACCCAAGACTGCGCGTGTGCCCCATGGGGTGGACTTGGGCATTGTGGTGGTGTCAACGTGTGCATGAGAGATTGGTCGAGCGGTGTGGAGGACAACCCGAAGAGAGGTTACAGGATCGTCGTGTCGTTCCCTCTCTTGCGGGGGCCTGCCATCTCGAGTATGTCGACAACTTCGTGGCCATTTCGACTGTCGCCTCCAAGGTGCATCGCCTCGCGTCCGCCGTCGTGGAGGGGTTCAGGGAGGCGGGGTTGGTCGCGACCGCCGATGTCGACTCGCCCGGAGAGGATCTCGCTCGGGACCGCACCGTCATGGGATGGGATATTTGATGTCGTGCCGCTGTCCTGAGGCCTACCCGGGCCCGTGTCTGGAGGGCCCGCTTGTGTGTCCGTGCCTTGCTTCGTCGTGGCCGCGTCTCTGGGAAGGTCCTCGAGAGGCTTGTGGGGCACATGGGGTTCATCAGCCTGGTCCGACGGGAAAGCCTCTCGGTCTTCGACACGCTGTTCGCGTTCATCCGCCGCTTCTACTACGAGGAGGCCCCGCTGTGGCCCAGTGTCATCGACGAGCTCACGATCTGGGAGGGGATCGCGCCGCTGCTGTGGCGCAACCTGAAGGCCTCGTGGGGGCCGTCGCTGTGCGCCGTCGACGCGTCCCCGACCGGTCTGGGAGTCTGCTCGTCGCCGATCTCAGTCGAGGAGGCCCGGGGGCTTGGGAGACATTGCGAGCGGTGGCGTTTCTCTCGGGGTGCGCGTCTTCCTCCGCGTCTTCAGGCTGCCGCCGCTGCCGCCGTGTCCGACGACCCCGAGGTGCAGTGGCTGTCCGGAGTGCACGACAACGGGTCCGGAGGTCTCTGGGATGTTGATGGGGGGCCGCCGCCTGCTGGCAGTACCGCCGCCGTTCTGGGTTCCGGGCTCGGCGATTCTCGTGGCGCCGTGTTTCGTGAGGTGCCCCTGAAGCTCTTACTACGTGACTGGAAGATTGTCGGGAGGTACAAGTGGAACGTTGAGGAGCCGATGCCTATCCTTGAGGGCCGGGCTATCTTGTATGCACTACGACACGCCCTGAGGAATGTTCAGAACTTCGGGCGGCGGATCGCGGTCCTGGGGGGCGCCCTCGTCGCTGCCTGCGCAGTCTCGAAGGGGCGGTCTGATTCCAGGGCGATGCTCAAGGTCACCCAGTCCGTGGCTGCTCTCTGTCTGGCCACTGGGTGCGTGTTGCACTGCCGGTGGCTCCCCTCAGAGTGGAACGTGGCTGACGGGCCCTCGAGAGGGCTTGCAGTTCCGTCAGTGCCGCAGCCGCTGTCCCTCTCGAAGCCTCACGAGCTGGAGTGGCTTCGCTCGGCTGGGCAGCCCGCGCCCGCCCCGCGGCCCCGCCCCGCGGCAGGAGGCGATGCTGCTACGAGCGTCGCCGTCGACCGGCTCCCAGCCGACTGGGATGGCTTCGCGGCCCTCGGGGAGGAGCAGTTTGACGCGGACGCCAGCCGCTTCGAGCCCGTCTTCATCGGCGGCGTTTCCTTCGCGGGCCGCTCCCAGCAGCGCGCCGGCGGCTGTGCCCCGCCGGGCGCCGCGGGCGCCGGCGCGAGCACCAGCGCGGCGCGCCGGGCAGGCCCGCGTGAAGGAGGCGGCGAGGCGGCGGGCGGCCGCGACCGCGGCCGAGGGGCTGACCGTCTGCCAGACTCACTCGGTTCGCCCCGCTACGTTGCGGCTGTGCCAAGACGACTTTGCCTCGTTCAAGCGCTGGCTGAGTCGCCAGGGCCGCCCGATGCCCGAGGGCAAGCTGGACACCGACCAGACCCTCTCCCAGTACCTGGACGAGATGTACCTCGACGGCGCGCACGTCAGCTTGGGGGGGCGGATGCTCGCTGCTGTGCTGTTCCACCAGTCGGTCCTGAGCAAGGCGGGCGGCGCGCGGATGGCGCGCAGCCGCCGCGCGCTTAAGGGCGGGCAGCGCCTGGCGCCTGCAGGCTCCAGGCTCGGGGTGCCGTACGAGGTGATGTGCATGATCGTGATGTGGCTGCGCGGCCTGTTCACGATCAGCAGCGCCCAGGCGGGGCAGGCGTTCGAGAGGGCGGTGCAGGCGCTGGGGCTTCGGCGCGTCGGCGGGGTCTGCCGCTACCAGCTGCGCCACGGCGGCGCAAGCCGCGACGCGGCGACCGGCGCGAGGACGCTGGATCAGATCCGCCATCGCGGCCGCTGGCGCGCCCACAGCAGCCTCCGCCGCTACGAGAAAGGGGCGAGGCTCGGCGAGGTGCTCGAGCGCCTCACCACCCCGCTCCGTGCCCACGCGCTGCGCTGCGCCGACTTGCTCGCCGACGTTGCGGCCGGGCGACGCCAGCCTTGCGCGAGCCCCTGAGGGTCCCCGTCTTCGTGGAGATCTTCTCTGGCTCAGGCAGGCTGGGGCGTGCTGCTGCGCATGAAGGGCTGCAGGTGCTCTGGTGGGACATCTCGTTCGGCGACGCCTATGACCTGACGCTTGGCAAGAATCAGAATCTGCTGATGGGCTGGCTCGCTGGAGGCCTCATCATCGGGTTTCACGTCGCGCTGCCATGCCAGACCTACTCCCGCATTCGCGATCGTGGAGGCGGTCCGCCGCCGCTGAGGAGTGAACCCTGGCCGTGGGGGCTTCCGAACCTCGCGGCCGCCTTGCAGCGCAAAGTGACGCTTGCCAATAATCTCACTCGCTTCGCATGCCGCTTGTGTCGTGAGGCCATCCTTCGTCGGATCCCCTGGTCTTTGGAGAACCCGCGAACCTCGCGCCTGTGGCTGTGTAATTCAATCGTTGCCCTTACGAAACGGAAGAATGTCAGTAGTGTGTACACTGATTTCTGCATGTGGGCGGGACCTTTTAAAAAATCCACCACGTTTGTATCGTACCTCGTCGATCTCTCTGGGCTCGCCACTCGCAGGTGCCTCGGTAGCCGCAGAATGTGTGCGCGCACTGGCGAGCCGCACCAGCAGTTGGTCGGCAAGCGTCAGGACGGGGTGTTTTGGACTGAAGTTGCCGAACCATATCCAGCCCCGCTTTGCAGTTTCATCGCCAAACGGCTCTGGGACATAATTGCTGCGCGAACCGCTCAGAAATTTGACAGGTTCCTGTCTGTTGCTTAAGTCCCGGCGGAGCCAGTTGGCCTTCGTGCAAGTATGGCATTTTCTAGCTTGACGGTGCTGTCTTGGCAGTGCGTGTGGCCGAAGCCACACTCCTGTGCGGAAGGTATTGTGACTCGTTGCTTGCCTGCCCACTCGCTCCGGTCGGTGGCGCCACTGTATGTAAAAACACATCGTCGTCTGGCCTCGAACGGAAGCCTGAGCAATTGCAGTTATACTAACGCGTTTTGCGGAGCATGAGTGGGTCGGGCCGCCTTTACCGTTTGGGCTCAAGGCGCCCACCACGCCCGCCCATTTTTCGCCTTGAGCAGTGCGTGTGGCCGAAGCCACACTCCTGTGCGGAAGGTATTGTGACTCGTTGCTTGCCTGCCCACTCGCTCCGGTCGGTGGCGCCACTGTATGTAAAAACACATCGTCGTCTGGCCTCGAACGGAAGCCTGAGCAATGATCATGATCATCATCATAAGCATTCTCATTCTCATTATCATCATCATGATCATCATCAACATCATCATCATCATCATCATCATTATCACCATCATCTGCCTCGGCCCGGTCCATGTGCCCTCTGGTGCCAGGGAGGGTTCGCCCTCTCTTCGCGGGATGCGAGAGTGTTCGAAGTAAGCAACGTTGCCTTGCCTCCAAATCTGTCCCAGGTCTGCGTCCTCCTCCCCCAACCTCTGCCCCCCTGCTCCTCCGCCCTCGGCCGTCCGCATCTGCCTTCTCTGCCCACCTGGATGTTCCACGATAGACGTTCTAGGATACGTATATGCCACGCCGGCCACCAGCTCGAGCTCCGAGAGAGAAACAGAAGCCGTGCCCGAGGTGCTTCCTCAAGCTCGGTTTCTGGGCTGGCCATCTCGGGCCCCCTGGGGCATTCGGAAATCGATCTGGGATCAACATTTTGCCAGGATGGAGCCTGGGAGCGGTTCAGGACGGTTTTTGAGCTAACTCCGAGGCTCGAGAATCGATGCTGCTGGACGTTTTTGGTATTGTTTTTGGTCCACTGGGAGGCTTCTCGGCGCCATGGCTGGGCCCCCTTCGAAGTTATAATTATCCCAGTGCGACCCTACCTAGGAGTTGGAACCCCTAGGAAAGCAGCATTAGTAGTAACAGTGACGCTAAGCTAAAGCTAAGCTAAAGCTAAGCTAAAGCTAAGTTAAAGCTAAGCTAGAGCTAAGCCACAGCTAAGCTAAAACTAAGCTAAAGCTAAACTAAAGCTAAGCTAAATCTAAGCTAAAGCTAAGCTAGAGCTAAGCTAACGCTAAGCTAACGCTAAGCTAAAGCTAAGCTAAAACTAAGCTACAGCTAAGCTAAAAATAAGCTAAAGCTAAGTTAAAGCTAAGCTAAAGCTAAGCTAAAGCTAAGCTAAAGCTAAGCTAAAGCTAAGCTAAAGCTAAGCTACAGCCTAGCTCAAGCTAAGCTAAAGCTAAGCTAAAGCTAAGCTAAACGCTAAGCGAAACTCTGAGCGAAACGCTAAGCTAAAGCTAGGCTACAGCTAAGCTAAAGCTAAGCTAAAGCTAAAGCTAAAGCTAAAGCTCCCAGGGAACTGGGGGGAACCGCTCCCAGGGGACTGGGGGAACCGCCCGGGGCGTGTTCCACTGCCCGGCCCCTTTAAGCTAAGAGAGTAAGAACCCTTTTAGGCAGAGCCTAGGTATGGAATTATGACGCTCCAAAAAGGTCCGGGGAGGAGGGTTTTGAGATAATGAGGAAAAAGGAAGGAGGAGGAGGAGGAGGAGGGAGGAGGAGGAGGAGGAGGAGGAGGAGGAGGAGGAGGAGGAGGAGGAGGAGGAGGAGGAGGAGGAGGAAGAGGAGGAGGAGGAAGAGGAGGAGGAGGAGGACTAGTGTAAACCCAAGAGCCATCAACGATGTTGGAATACACCCTCCCTCCAAGCTCCTTCTTCATAGGCCCCTACAGCGGTTCATTTCCATTGAGGGATCTGCCTCGTTGGAAGGCAACCGTTTGAAAACCCGGAAGCATGCCAAAGCATTGTTCTCGGGATCCCAACGCCACGGATCAACATGACTGTTGCGTCTTGACGTTATTGGATCGTGCCAGAACGCAATTCTTGGGACTTCACTACCGCGAGCCAAAGTAGCTGTTACGTTGATGATGAGAACCCGTGAAACTCTTGCAAATGTTTTAGAAGAATGTGCGCGGCGCTACGGCGAAAACCGCATTTTGAAAAGGAACCGCCCTCAATCCGTGAAGCTCTTGGAAATGTTTAAAAACGAATGTGCGCGGCGCTCAGGCAATATCCAAATTTTGAAGCAACCGCATTCAATCCGTGAAACACTTGCACATGTATAAAACGAATGTGCGCTGCGCTATGACGAGAGTCACATTTTGAAACCAGGTTTTCCTTACTTCGTGAAGCTCTCGCATATGTTTAGGACGAATGTGCGCGGCGCTAATAAGGCGAGAACCACATTTTGAAAACAGATTTACCTCGAGCAGTGGTTCAGGGGCCCATGGCACGGGCATCTGGACGCCCCCATCGCTTGAAAATGAGTGACGGGGGCAGGCCTTGCCACGGCCACTTGCGCTTGCCCAGACAAGACGAACACTGAGGTACTGTCTTCAGGCGCGGGGGCACCTGCATGCTTTTCCTGCGCGCCAGGGGGAGCGGCGGACCCGGCTGCACGGCCGCCGTAGAACAGGATCGCTCATCTCATCAATATCGCTCTCGTGAGAATATGCGAACAGCTTGTGCTGAACTCCGAGCTCGAAGGTACATGCGCGACCGTATTACACACGCAGAGGTTTTATGACCTGTATTGGTATACAGTACTTGGGTGGTTTACTCTCAGGGGATCACCGACTACTGCGGGTGGCAACGCCCGCTGACTGGTACGCGCGACTGCCTGGGAAGCGGGCGGGGCCGCATTGCCAGCGTTTCCAAAATATCATGTTTCAAAGCTCGGGCTTTACGTATGTCTATTGTAATTGTGGTGCCTCCATGATTTGTTTGACAGTAGGTCCTATGCGTGACGCAATGTAATATTTAGGCATGCAGACCATGCGAATGCGATGTTGCCACATTGGTTCGAAGGTTGACCGTTCGAGTCGTATGCCGAGCGGCGCGCACTTGCAGGTTGCAGCCGCCTGCGCGCGCGTTCCCACCAAGCATGCGCGTGGCAAATTGCGGGGGAGCCTGCGGTTAGACTGGCACGGCCAAGGCGCATAGATGGCATAATGGCGAAACATAACGACCGCGATCATGACTGCAAGGCTGATTGATCAACTAGACCATCGTGAACAGAGAAGACAAGCAAGTGCTGCACACCTCAGCGTACACACTCGAGTGGATAAAGGAGCTTGGATTTACGTCCAGTCTCCAAAGAATGGCCCTCAATGGGATTATGTAGTACACCGAGTGACGACGAACCTTGACGACAATGCTGTCATACAGGACATCCAGATGCAAGATCAACCGATCGGGTACAATTACAATGCACCATTACCGAGCGGTGTGACGAACGTTCGTATTCGCCTGCACTGGGAGCCTCCGGCGCCAGTCTCGCTCAGAAACGAGGGGCAGCGATCGCGCCCAAGGCGGGTTGCGACCGTCGATGACGATCGTCTCCCCCCCTCGATTGAGCGCGGCCGCGCGCCGCCCCCTATTCCCGAATTTCCGACGCATACTTCACCCGATAATGAGCAACAACAGACAGCGCCACCCACCGATGCCCGGATAAAGCAGAAAGAAAAGCAGAAGGCTGATCAACGAGCCGGCATCGAACTGCGAAAGATACCCGAGGTAGTCGAAGACGGCAACGACGACTGCGGCGAGGACCTGAAGGGCCTCGGGCGTGGAGCATACTACACTGACGTTCCTCTAGACACCGACAGTGGCGAAGATGAGGAAACCTTCGTCGCGCTACCAGTGGGGTTGCCTGCGGATGCACATGCTGACGTGTTCTCCCAACCTTGGGTTGCGG